TTCCACCACTCACGGCGGAGGCCGCACAGCTGCGCACGCTCCGTAAAATTCACCAGGACGTGTGGGTGCGGCGGGTGTAAGTGAGAGCCGGAAAAAGCTGCCTGAAAACAGACGTTCTGGCCCCGGCTGCTGTGCCTCCCGGGTGGGGCGCGGGCCTGAGAACCAGAGGCGCGCGGGCTGGACCACCAGTCAGGGCTCCTGCCTGGGTTGCAGGCCAGGCTCCCAGCAGGGGGCGCTCGAGAGGCAACCACATATTGGTGCTTCTCTCCCTCTCTTTCTCCCTACCTTCCCCTCTCTCTAAAAATAAAATAAATAAAATCTTACAAAAAGAAAAGAAAAGCCCTGGCTGGCGTAGCTCAGTGGATTGAGCACAGCCTGCGAACCAAAGTGTCGCAGGTTCAATTCCCAGTCAGGGCACATGCCTGGGTTGCAGGCCATGACCCCCAGCAACCGCACATGGATGTTTCTCTCTCTCTCTCTCTTTCTCCCTCCCTTCCCTCTCTAAAACTAAATAATAAAAAAAAGAAAAGAGAAAAGAAAAGAAAATAGATGCTCGGCCCTTCATATGATAACGAATCCAGCTCCGCCGCTGTCAGCTGTCCCGCGGCAGCCCCAGGCCTCACCTCCCCGACTTCCCGCTGGACCACCAGCCAAGACTGGGTCTTCCCGCAGTGTTACCGGCCGCACAGGGGCCAGCACCTTGGTGCGTGCCTCTTTCATCACGTCTACAGGGCTGTTTCCTAGAAAGCAGTCTCCGGAGTCCAAGGAAATGGAACGTAAGGTTTGGAGGCAGACCACGAACTTGTTTCCGGAGAAGTTTTAGAAGCCTGGTCTCTCCACTGTGGGGGCGCGCCCACCCTCCTGGCTCTCATTTGGGAGGGCGGGGGCAGACATCAGTGGAAAGCTTCCTGTCTGCGTGGAGCTGCGTGAGAAGGGTGACGGTGTGTGTTTCCTAAGGGCCTACCAGGCCTGGCCACTGGTCAAAGTCACGTTCAGGCCGTCACCTGCTCAGTTGCCCCAGCAGTCCCGAGGCACAGCAGGGCTTTGAACACGGTTCTCGGGGGGAAAAGGGGGCTGCCTGTGGCTTGGCCTGGTTCGCCCGGGACAGCAGTGGGTCCAGGAGCCCGAATCCCACTGTGACGAGAAGCAGGGCCTGACTCCGAGCCTCAGTTTCCCCACCTGTAAAGCAGGAAGAGCAGCCCGGGAGGCCTGAGAGGGTTATAAATAAGGGCAGCTCATGGCCTGCCTGGCACCTCGTGGGGGCTCGGCCGATGGAAGCCGCCCTCCACCACTGTCCTTGGGGGCCTCGCAGGGAAGGAACGAAGCCCAAAGACAGCTGGGGGGTTGGGGGCACCCTCTCCAGGCTCTGCGCCTCCATGGAGCCCGGTACCCGGGCCAGGGGCTCCTGCTCCTTCACACCCAGCCTCTCACGGCGCGGGAAGGTCACTCCTGCCCGCACAGGCACGCATCCCAGAGGCTGGGGGCTCTGCTCAGGGGTCCGCCCCTGGTGGGTGGGAGTTCGGGCACCAGGGAGGGGGTGCGCACATGGGCCCGGAAATGCAGGGGCTCTCCTAGTTCTGTGATGAACTCCAGGCCTCACGGAGGATGTCTGTCCAGGAAGAAGACAGACAGGCAGACAGGAGAGGAAGGGACCACAGGCTCCCCGAGCTCCGGGCAGCATGGGATGGGCGGCGCTCCCTGATGCCCATTAGAGACGGGACGCCCCAGGGGACGAAATCTCAAGGGCACGCCCTCAGTGCCCAGGGGAGCCCGAGCCCACTGTGAGCCCAGCCCTGCCGCCCATCGGCTGCTGGACGAGGGGATCTGTCACCCAAGGGACTAGGCCAGCCAACAGCACAGGGAGCAGAACCCTCTCTCCCTCCCCACCCATGCTTTTCTGCCTCCCTGTCTAGGAAGGTCAAAGCCAAGTCATAAGGTGCCCTTCCAGCCCCGCTTTCTCGAGGCCTGTCCCGGCCAGCTCGGGTCCTCACAGACCAGGGCCGGGGCCCTCACCATCGCCTGCATCCCCGGGGACCTCCGTGGATGGACCCGCCCCTCTCTCTCAGCTGACTCCTCTTTCGGCTCTGTCCCGCCAGCTCGTCACTGTCCGCCTTATCAACAAGCGTACCCACAGAGATCGGGTCAAACAAAAATTCAACACACCAGCAGCAGCAAAAATAGAAGCTAAACCCAAACCTGGGCGCCGCTGGTCACAGAGAGACGGGGGGAGGCCCCCCACGGCCGGGCGCGAACAACCGAAGGAGAAGCCCTCGGAGGTCCTGGCCCTTCCTAACCTTTGACCTGGCAATTTCACTTCTAGGAAATGACGAGAAGTGCACAGTCACAGCCCCAGGAAGCGTGCAGGGTCCTGGGGGCGAGCCAGCCGGCTCAGGGACGGAGGCTTCTGGAGGCTCGTGTACCCGACTACCAAGAAACACCCAGCAACACAGCAATCTATGCATAAATTCAATGTAGCGTTCTCTAAAGGCAGCAAATATAAAAAAAAACCCTGTCCAATGAGAGCCATTAACTGAGTATGAAATGATAATATGTAAGTGTTGAAAATATAAACAGCCCAGGCTGGTGTGGTTCAGTGGATTCAGTGCCGGCCTGTGGACCCAAAGGTCACCGGTTCAATTCCCAGCCCAGGCATGTGCTTGGGTTGTGGGCCAGGTCCCCAGTTGGGGTGTGTGTGTGTGTGTGGGGGGGGGTGTGTGGGAGGCAATCGATCCATGTTTCTCTGACACATTGAAGTTTCTCTCCCTCTCTTTCTCCTTCCCTTCCCCTCTCTCTGAAAATGAATAAAATCTTAACCACAAAAAAAGAAAAAATATAAATAATGTTGAGAGGTCATTTGAAACATGTATATAGCCAAGATACTCAAATATGTAAAAACGCATTTTGTTTTTAAGACTTTATTTATTTATTTTTAGAGAGAGGGGAAGGGAGGGAGGGAGGAAGAGCGGGAGAGAAACATCAGTGTGGGGTTGCCTGTCCCTCACCCGGCACTGGAGACCCGGCCGGCAACCCAGGCCTGTGCCCTGACGGGGAATCGAACTAGTGACCCTTTGGGTGCTCAATTCACTGAGCCACACCAGCCAGGGCTAAAAATGCATTTTAAAATGCCAGACAAAGAGGGCACATATTAACGATGATTTATCTCCAGGTGGTGTAAATATGGGGTTTCCACCCCATATTCTTTAGTTAATCCCTTCAGGTACGTTCAAGGGACACCAACGCTGCCCTGGCAGAGGGGACACCTGGCCTGGGCAGGCCCGCCCTCCCCACCCCCACCCCCACCCCCCACCCCGACCGGGGAGACAGCAGCTGCGACAGGAGGAAGTGCATCCCAGAGAGCACAGTAGGGCAGAGTTGAGGGGCAGTCCGCCCTGCCCTCGGGGCAGAGCACCGGGAGGGCAGCCCCTTGGGGGAGGGGGAAGGCTGGGGGGCGGGGAAGGGCTGTTTCCAGGCGTCCAGCTTCCCTTTCTCAGCAGCCCCTTCCCCCCCCCCCCCCCCGCCCCCCACACGTTTTGCCAAAAACGCCCCTGGCGGCCACCTCCTCGCACTGGGCCCTGCTCCCATGTCAGACCTTGGGGGGCCTGCACCGCACCCCCCCCCACGCTGCATCCCGGACTCCCACGCGGGGCGGATGGGTTTGGGAGCCGCCGGCCGGCGCTCAGGTGGTGGGTCACAACTTCAGACGCTGCCCGCCCTGGCACACCGGCGGCCGGGCCCATCACACACACACGCGGGCGCGCGGGGCACAGCCCCACTACCCCAGGCAGCTGGCGGGCGGGCGTTGGTCGGTGCAAGGAAACAGAACACAGTTTTAAGAATTTCCATTTTGGAGTCCGTCCTTTAATACGGGGTTGTCCTGGGGGACAAGCAGGGACAGGAGCGCCAGGCTAAGGGGGAAGATGAAGAGCAGAGAGGGCTCCACCCAGACCCCCCCTTTCTTCCCGCTGGTATTTGGGCCTGACCTGGGCACTCCCACGGCGGGGGCTGGGCTGTGGGGACTCGGAGCGCAGGCCGCGGCAGGACGGGTCGAGAGTGACGGGACACACGGCTTTTGGTGACTCCCGGGGGCCGGCGTGGGGCCGTCACTCAGTGTCTCCGGGAGACAACGGGGGCGTCCTCCCGAGGGAGGGTGGGCGCAAGGGAGCCAGAGCCTCAGCCGAGAGTGGCAAGCGGGTGGGGACCTTCGCCCCCCCCGACCCCGGTACCGGAGGTGGACGCCAGGCCGGGGTACCCCCGCCGCCCCGGGCAGGGAGGAGGGGTGGGCTCTGAGGCCGGACTGCCCCACAGCGAAGCCCAGCTCCTAACTCACTCGGCCGTTCCCATCTGGAGCCGCGGGAGGGAGGGAGGGAGGGAAGCGCGCCGGAAGGAGGGGGTCGCCAGCGGATCCAGATCCCGGGAGGCAGCGCGAGCCCGGACTTTCTGACTTCCCAGCTCGCGCCCAGGCCGCCCCTCCACCTGGAGGGCCCTTCCCCTTCCCCGCGCGTCCAAAGCCTCAGGATCTCCTGCCCCCGCCGGCCCCCCTCCAGCCGGCCGCGCCGCTCTCCCCACCTGCACACACTCCTGCGCCAGGGGCGAGCCCCGCGGGGCGGCCAGGCTCCCGGCACCTTCCGCGCCCCCAAACAGCGCGGCGCGACCCGCACTGGGCCCCGGGCTTCTGGCCCCCGCGTCCCCTACTCCCGCCGCGAACCCGGCCAGGGCGGGGCTGCTCCGGGGGATCCTCGGCGAAAGGGGCGCGCCTCCGAAGTAGGGCCGGGGCTCCCGCGCTCAACTTCGGGGCGCAGGGGCGGGGAGGCGGCCGCCGGGGACCGCCGCGCCCAGTCCCCAGTCGCTGCGCACTCAAGTGTCCCTCTGGAACAGGTGGCCCGGGAGAGGGTCGGGCCCTCCCCGGTCTTTCTCGAAGCGCCCTCCCCCACCCGGGCCGGGGCGCGCCCAGGCCCGCGTCCCGAACCCCCGCGCGCGCAGCCGCCGCGCAGCCGGCCTACCTCTGGACCCCACAGCGTCCCACGGCGTCCAACACATCCCGAGCCAGCCGGCAGGAGCACCGCCCCCTCCGCCCGGGCGGGGTCAGCGCCGCCCCTTACAGCTCCGCCCGCCGCCCCCCCTGCGGCGTTCCCGCTCCCCGGGTCCTCACGCTCCCGGCGCCCAGACCGCGGGCAGGTGGGGTAGGGAGCGCTCCTGTGCCTCCCTGCCGCCTGCCCCGGGGCGCATAGTCCCATTCCCCCCATTTAACAGATGAGAAAACTGAGGCTCAGAGTGGTTGTCAGCATTTGAACCCTGGCCTGCCTGATGCCACCGCCTAGAATATACCCACGAGCCTCCCTCCAGCCCCGCCAACGGCGACCCGCGCTGACGCTAAACGCTTTGCCCGCACCATCTCTTGCGTTTCGGTCCCAGCTTCCCAGGGTCCTCGCCGCCACCCGGCCTGTTCGCCCACCTCCCCTCGGGCCACTGCACACTCGCCGTGCTGTCCTGCCCGCTCCTGCCCACCCCCTCGCTCTGCTGACGACCCGCGGTGCCCAGGCCCCGGAGAGAATGGAGACACTGCACCCCAGCCCCAGGGGCAGCCTGGCACTCAGTAGGTGCCCCCGATGGCCCTTGGCGTGAATGCCGGAGAAGAACATCCCCACCAGGACCTCCTCTGGCCCTCAAGATGCCCGCCCTCCGACCCGGCTCCGACCCAGCACCTCTCTCCTCCGCCGTTCCCCTCGGTCCGCACGCGGTTGCTCCTTCCACCTCAAAACCAACGCGAGGAAGCAGAAGCCCCTGTCGGGACCCCGCCGCCCCTGCAGCTACTGCTGCCCATCGCTCCGGCCAAGCCACGGCCCGCCGCGGGAGTCGTCTCTCTCCGCCCTGGCTGCAGGCTCCCTCCTGCCCTTTCCCTGAACGCCCAGCAGCCTGGCGCCCGCCCCTCTCCACCCCGCCCCCCGCTCATCCACCAAGCCTGCCATTTCCTGGTCCCCAGGGAGGTCCCTGTGACTGGGTCCGTGCTGCGTCTCCACCCTTGTCTTACTGCCGCTTCTGGCGGCACCTGTCCGGGCCTCTGGCTGCCTCCACTCCCAAGGACCTTCAGGTCTGGCTTCCCACTCCCCACACGGCCGCCCTCCGCCCTGGTGGCCCACCGCCCCCTTCTCCTCCATGCCTGCCCCCCCCACCCTCTGAAGTTGCTGTGGCCTGTGCTCAGCTCTTCACCCGGATGCTCTCACGCAGCCCAGTGCCTTAGGAGACATCTATCAGGGGATGCCCATGCGTGGCCTGTGGCCACGTTTCTCACCCCACCCCCAGTCCTAGTGGCCAGACTCTCCCCAGGCTGAGCGCGGGTATTCCGGCCTCAGCCCCTCCCCCATTCGAGCAGCCAAGACGGGTGATGGGGAGGACCAGGCGGGGGGGGGGTCTCACCTCCTCTGCCCCAGCCCCTCCACTGCCTGTGCACCTCACCCAGGACAAGAGCCAGCTTCTGCCTCTGACTCCAGCCCCTGTCTTCTCCATCAGGGCCCTGCCCAGCCCCGCTGGCCTCGCAGCTGCCTCCCCGCCACCCAACCCTGCAGGGCCTCTCCCCTGGCCGCTCCTCCGCCTGGACACTCTCTCCCCCACCTCCTTCAGGTCCCAGCTTCCCCCGGACGGGGCCGTCCCCCACACCCTGCTGCCTCCCCTCCTCGGTCCTTCCTCCCCGTGCACACATCTCCCCGGGAGACAGACCACCCGGGTCTCAGTCGGGTCTCAGCCGGGTCTCAACCACCCGAGATTTCATCGCCCGTCTCCTGCCCGGGAAAGAACAGGAGCTCAGCCCCTCAGGGCAGGGGTTCCTGCCGCCTTACTCACCGCCGCCTCCCTGCTGGAGCAGGGCCGGGACGGGGTGTGGGGCACCACAATGCCCGCAGCGTCAGGAACATCCACAATCACTTTTCTTTCAGTTGGCTTCTCACCGCAGAGAATGCATTTGAAGAGGAAACTCGCCCTGGCCGGTGTGGCTCAGTGGACTGAGCGCTGCCGGCCTGTGGGCTGAAAGGCCGCAGGTTCGATTCCCAGTCAGGGCAGGTGCCTGGGTCTCGGCCGGGTCCCCAGCTGGGGGCGCGTGAGAGGCGATCGATCCGTGTGCCTCTCACACATCAGTGTTTCTCTCCCTCTTTCTCCCTCCCTCTCTCACTACAAAGAGACAGGTTTTAAAAGCGAGGATAAGACAATGCCCTCAGGCTCTGGCGACCCCATTTCGGGTCTGAGGCCCAAACAAGCGGAGCGGAGAGGTGTTCAGGGTGACCGTCCGTCCAGCGGATGCTCGCCCTGGGCCCCAGCAGAGGGGTCAGAGAGACCTGAGAAGGAGACGGATGCTTCCGGGAGCCGCATCCTGGGCTGTGCCGGGCCCATGTGCTCCCCGGGGAAACAGCCTCCAGCAGCCGGCCAGCCTCACCACAGCACTCTGAGCTCAGGCCATCACACCCCCACTTTGCAGGTAAAGAAACCGAGGCCAGGGCGGGGACTTGCCCCAGCTCTCAGGGCACGTCAAGATGGACAGAGGTTGGGATCCGAGTTTGCCTGACCCCGAGCCCTCGGCAGACTCTGAGGCCAAATCGCTTCTAGTTGCGCCCAGCCTGGCTGTCGGGGAGTTGGGGGGAAGAGCCTGGAGGGAGAGGCCCTGGCCTGGCCTCAGTTTACCCGTCTGTAAAGAGCTGCCAGGGGCGCAGAGCCTGGGGCCCTCCTCTGTCTTGTACGGAAGGCTGGGGGAGAGACGTGGCCTTTCTCCCGAGTGGGCTCTAGTGTTCGCTCTTTCTGCAGGACTGGGAGTGGGGGGGGGGGGTGTCCACTGCAGGTCCACAGTGTCCGACCGCCACACGAGGGGAGGGTCCATCATCTCAGGGCAGAGCCCACCCCGGGAGGCCGCGCCGTCCCCAGGAGATCTGTCTCCGCAGGGCTGGCCAATGGGCCCCTGCGCTTCTCATTGCACGAGTCTAACCAGATGGGCTAGATTCTCTTTCCCTTGCACACAGAGGAATGCTAGTTAGCACGCCTTTCACCCAGGGGCGCTTTCGGCTCTACCCAGAAGCCCTGGGGCCTCTCCTGTCTTCACAAAGAAGGTACGAGAAGAAACAGCAGCCCCCCCCCTCACCGCCCTGTGACCCTCCCCTTCTAGTCCCCAGGGCCCGTTCCCATCTGCTTCCTGTCCCCTGCTGAGGTTGGGGATCGTGCAAGTGTCACAGTGACCCGCTGGCAGCCAAACCCTGTTAATACAGGATTAATGACAATACTGTTAACCTTTGCTAACAAAATCACAGAGCGCAAGAACTTACTGTAAACTTGTGACCTTAAAAATATAGAGGTATTTCTGGCTTTGTTTCTAGCAAGAGTGGCCCCAAACCCACAGTCATGCAGTCCCCTACCCCCACCCCAAGTCTCACGAGCATTGCTGTGACCAGACTTTGGTCTCTAAAACCTTCTCCACTGAAGGAGACCAGGACTCTTTGGAGCATAAAAAAGAAAATGAGAATAGTCTAGAATGCCCTGTTGTGGCCCGAGAGTAAGGCAACCCTCAGAAATTTTAGGGGAGCAGAGAAGGAACAATGGGGAAATCAAAAGTTTTCCCCGTGTTAACCAAGCCATAACAATATGGGCGTCCAAACTTAGTAACTGAAACACAGTTAATTTGAATAATCTCACTCTGTGAAAGGTTATGGCTACAATGAAACTCAAACAGAAAAGCTAACACAGAGCATCCAAAGAGAGGTTTTTTTAAAAAGATTTTATTTATTTATTTTTAGAGAGAGGGGAAGGGAAGGAGAAAGAGGGAGAGAAGCATCAATGTGTGGTTGCCTCTCGTGCGCCCCCTACTGGGGACCTGGCCTGCAGCCCAGGCACGTGCCCTGGGTGGGAAATAACCTGGTGACCTATCGGGTCTCAGGCTGAGAACCACTGAGCCCCACCAGCCAGGGCCAAAGAGAGTTTTAATATAAGAAAGACGACTGCCCTGGCCCGTGTGGCTCAGCTGGTTGAGCGTCATTTAGACAGAGCGAAAGGTCGGAGGTTCGATTCCCGGTCGGGGCACGTGCCTGGGTTGCAGGTCCAGTCCCCAGATGGGTGCTTGTGAGAGACAACCGATCCATCGCTGTCTCTCCCTCACTTGGGTGTTTCTCTCCCTCTCTTTCTCCCTCCCTTTCCCTCTGCCTAAAAATAAATAAATAAATATTTTTTTTTAAAAGAAAGATGATGATCCTATGACTTGTTTGAATTTTTACTGAGCTTAACAAGTTGGGGTCTGTGTTTTGTTTCTTTGATTGCCACTAACAAATTAGAGAGGCGTGTGTGCATTACCTGTGTAATCAGAAAAGCATAAACTCGCAGCTGTGGGCTGGGGCCCAGGGGCGCCGGGGGGCTCGGGGTGAGGAAAAGAAGGGCCCACTCACGGCCACCGGCGGCCACCCCGGACCGCTGGGTGGACGCGGCTCCCTCAGGCACACGGCGAGGGGGTCGCCCTTGGTTGTCCAGGAGAAGGAGCATTCACCAGAGAGGATCCAAAATGATGAACTGGCCAAGTGTCCCCCTGGGAGAGGCAGCCCGTGTCCCAGCCAAGGACGAAGGTCAAACATCCAGATCGAGTGACCTCAGCTTGTCTTGGGAGGGCGTCCAAGCTCCACCACCAAAGCCCCAGGGAGACACGCAAACAAGGACAGCGCCATTCCCGGGGGGCAATGAGAGCCAGGCCGGGGTGGTTCAGAGACACACGGCCCCTGGCCTCGGCCTCTCAGAAGCGTTTTAAGAATCAGCGTCATGATGGGAGTGTTCTCGGGTCAGCCATTGAGAAATCCGTGACTGCAGTTTAAACCGTCGAAAGGAATTCACTGAATCAAGCCCGTGACCCGGGTTGGAGCCCCCGGAGAAATTGGGCTCCTCGGCCTTCTGATGAGACATGAGAGCTTCTGGGGAGCGCCCAGAGCGGCGGGGGTCCCCTCTGGGGACCGAGGAGGTCTCTCGACAGAAAACTCTCCATTAGCGGATGCCGCCGGCCGTTGCAGGCTGACTCTCTGACTTGCCGGTGGTGGCATCTGACAGTTGACCATGAGCTCTC